GACACAATGGATCAGCTAGACCCAATTGATATCTATAGGACATTTCACTCCAAAACAATGAATTTCACCTTTCTCTCAAGTGCACATGGAACCTTCTCCAGGACAAATCACGTCCTGGGCCATACATCTAGCCTTGGTAAATTTTAAAAAGTTGAAATCATTCCAAGCATCTTTTCTGACCACAATGCAGGAAGATTAGAGGTCCATTAAAGGAGAAAACCTATTAAAAATTCCAACGAATGGAGGCTGAACAACACGCTCCTGAAAAACCAATAAATCACAGAAGAAATCAAAAAAGAAATCAAAATATGCATAGACATGAATGAAAACAAAAAACGCAACAATCTAAAACCTATGGGACATTGTAAAAGCAATGCTAAGGGGAAGGTTCATAGTAATACAGGCTTATATCAAGAAACAAGAAAAAAGTCAAATACATAACCTAACTCTACACCTAAAGCAACTAGCAAAGAAAGAAATGAGGAACCCGTGGGTTAGTAGAAGGAAATAAATCTTAAAAATCGGGGCAGAAATAAATGCAAAAGAAACAAAAGAGACCATAGTAGAAAACAACAGAGCTAAAAGCCAGTTCTTTGAGAAGATTAAAAAAAAAAAGCTGACAAACCATTAGTCAGACTCCTGAAGAAACAAAGGGAGAAAAACCAAATCAACAAAATTAGAAATGAAAATGGAGAGATCACAAAAGACAACACATAAATACAATGGATCATAAGAGGTGACTATCAGCCACTATATGCCAATAAAATGGACAACTTGGAAGAAAGGAACAAATTCTTAGAAAAGAATCTTTCCCAAACTAAACCAGGAAGAAATAGAAAATCCTACCAGACCCATCACAAGCACGGAAATCGAAACTGTAATCAGAACTCTTCCAGCAAACAAAAGCCCAGGACCAGACGACTTCACAGCTGAATTCTACCAAAAATTTAGAGAAGTGCTAACACCTATCCTACTCAAACTCTTCCAGAAAATTGCAGAAGAATGTAAACGTCCAAACTCATTCTCTGAGGCCACCATCACCCTCATACGAAAACCTGACAAAGATGCCACAGGAAAAGAAAACTACAGGCCAATATCATTGAGGAACGTAGATGCGAAAATCCTTAACAAAATTCTAGCAAAGAGAACCCAACAACATATTAAAAAGATCATACATCATGGCCAAGTGGGCTTTATCCCAGGGATGCAAGGATTCTTCAATATCCACAAATCAACCAATGTAATACACCACATTAACAAATTAAAAGATAAAAACCATATGAATATCTCAAGAGATGCAGAGAAAGTCATTGACAAACTTCAACATCCATTTATGATTAAAAAAAAACTCAAGAAATCAGGAATAGAAATAACATACCTCAACACAATAAAAGTTATATATGACAAACCCACAGGAAACATTATCCTCAATGGTGAGAAACTGAAAGCATTTCGCCTAAAGTCAGGAACAAGAAAAGGGCGCCCACTCTCACCACTACTATTCAACATACTTTTGGAAGTCTTGGCCACAGCAATCAGAGCAGAAAAAGAAATAAAAGGAATCCAGGTAGGAAAAGAGGAAGTAAAACTCCCACTGTTTGCAGATGACATGATCCTCTACATAGAAAACCCTAAAGGCTCTACCAGAAAATTCCTAGAGCTAACCAATGCATATAGAAAAGTTGCAGGATATAAAATTAACACACAGAAATCCCTTGCATTCCTATATACTAACAAGGAGAAAACAGAAAGAGAAATTAAGGAAACAATTCCATTCAGCATTGCAACAAAAAAAAATAAAATACTTAGGAATCTACCTACCTAAAGAAACAAAAGACCTGTATATAGAAAACAATAAAACACTGATGAAAGAAATCAGAGAGGACACAAATAGATGCAGACATATACCATGTTCATGGACTGGAAGAATCAATATACTGAAAATGAGCATACGTGCCAAAGCAATCTATCGATTCAATGCAATCCCTATCAAGCTACCAACAGTATTTTTCACAGAACTAGAACAAATAATATCACAATTGGTATGCAAATACAAGAAACCTCAAATAGCCAAGGCAATCTTGAGAAAGAAGAGTGGAACTGGAGGAGTCAACCTGCCTGACTTCAGGCTATACTAAAAAGCTACAGTCATCAAGACAGTATGGTACTGGCACAAAGACAAAAATACAGATCAATGGAACAAAATAGAAAGCCCAGAGGTAAATCCATGCACCTATGGACACCTTATCGATGACAAAGGAGGCAAGAATATACAGTGGAGAAAAGACAAGACAACCTCTTTAACAAGTCGTGCTGGGAAAACTGGTCAATCACTTGTTAAAGAATGAAACTACAACACTTCCTAACACCATACACAAAAATAAACTCAAAGTGGCTTCAAGATCTAAACGTAAGACCGGAAACTACAAAACTTCCTAGAGGACAATATAGGCAAAACACTCTCCGACATAAATCATAGCAGGATCCTCTATGACCCACTTCCCTGAGTAATGAAAATAAAAGCAAAAATAAACAAATGGGACCTAATTAAACTTAAAAGCTCCTGCACAACAAAGGAAACTATAAGCAAGGTGAAAAGACAGCCTTCGGAATGGGGGAAAATGATAGCGAATGAAGCAGCTGAGAAAGAATTAATCTCAAAAATATACAAGCAGCTCTCGCAGCTCAACTCCAGAAAAATAAACGACCCAATCAGAAAATGGGCCAAAGAAATAAACAGACATTTCTCCAAAGAAGACATACAGATGGCTAACAAACACATGAAAAGATGCTCAACATCACTCATTATCAGAGAAACACAAATCAAAACCACAATGTGGTACCATCTTACGCCAGTCAGAATGGCTACAAACAGTAAATGCTGGAGAGAGTGTGGAGAAAAGGGAACCTTCTTACACTGTTGGTGGGAATGCAAACTAGTACAGCCACGATGGAGAACAGTGTGGAGATTCCTTAAAAATCTGGAAATAGAACTGCCATATGACCCAGCAATCCCACTCCTGGGCATACACACTGAGGAAACCAGAAGTGAAAGAGACACATGTACCCCAGTGTTCGTCACAGCATTGTTTACAATAGCCAGGACGTGGAAGCAACCTAGATGTCCATCAGCAGACAAATGGATAAGAAAGCTGTGGTACATATACACAATGGAATATTACACAGCCATTAAAAAGAATGCATTTGAATCAGTTCTAATGCCGTGGATGAAACTGGAGCCTATTATACAGAGTGAAGTAAGTCAGAAAAAAAAAAAACACAAACTCAGTATATTAACACATATATAGGGAATTTAGAAAGATGGTAATGATGACCCTATATGTGAGACAGAAAAAGAGACACAGATGTATAGAACAGTCTTTTGGACTCTATGGGAGAAGGCGAGGGTGGGATGATTTGAGAGAATAGCATTGAAACATATATATTATCATATGTGAAACCGATTGCCAGTCCAGGTTTGATGCATGAGACAGGGTGCTCAGGGCTGGTGCACTGGGATGACCCTGAGGGATGGGATGGGGAGGGAGGTGGGAGGGGGGTTGAGGATGGGGAACACATTGTACATCCATGGCTGATCCATGTCAACGTATGGCAAGACCACTATGATACTATAATTAGCCTCCAATTAAAATAAAAGATAAATAAAGAAAAAATATCTTCCATAGATAATTTTATAAACTCTGGTGGTATTTTTTCTTTCCTTATGATTTTATAATAACAAGTAGTCTAAATAAGAAAAAAGCATAAGTCGTGATTTCATTCACTTAATGTATGTAATTACCCATTATTTGCTGACATTCAGAAAAAGAAATCAGAATTTCTCCAGAGGAAAAAATATAGTTCTCCAGTTTTTCTTTCAAATTGTTGCAGCTGAAAATTTTCTCATTTAATGAAAAGAGATTAAGAATCGCGTTTATAAAATTATAAATTATAATTTTAGTAAAAAGGATAGATAGAATGCTTCTTTATTTCCTCTTTATTTTCAGAAAGATCTAAAACACCCACCAAGGTTATAGCAAACAGTTTAAGATAAATTAGGTGAGTACATTTAAGTATATAGTGTCAGACACGAATGAGCGACTGAACTGAACTGAAGTTAGAAACCACAAGAAACAGAAGGGCCAAAAATTCTTAACTCATAATACATCTCCTAAGGCCTAAAACAGGGCTCATCTTGAATTGTCGCTAAACAAAAGTTTTGCTAGGTTAAATAGAAGACATTGCTCCATTAATTTCAAAGTGAGATTTTTAAAAGAGAAAAGTTTAAAGAGAAATCACTTCAAATTTAAATGGACTTCCAGAGGGAACTATATTCAAAAAACATATGTACATACACAAGTATAAACAAATCACGTTACTGTACACCTGAAACTTACAGGTATTTTAAACTGACTACACTTCAATTGAACGAAAAAGCAAGAACCACCACCAACCTCGAAAACAACCACCAAAAACAATAAGGAACACATTTTCTTTCAGTTCATCATAAAAATCAGCTATATGCCATTCAAAAGAGTATGAGCATTGTTTTTTCATGACCTCACTTTCTCTTCTTACGTTGAATTTGAAATAATGTCTCACAGAATTATAACATAAGAGTTCCTGGTGTGACTTACCCCCCACTATTTCTGTTCTGTGGGTAAAATAATCTGTCTCATCTTCACCCTCATTCCATCTTATATTCATCTTGTCCTTCTTAAAGGAATTCTTCCCCTTTTTCCTCCTCCCCATCTTCATATTCATCTAGTTGTTTTTCCTCAGTGCTTTGTAATTCAGTACTTTCATAATGGTATACTTAGTATGCCAATATTTTTAAATCTGAATCATGCACATGTATGGCTCTTATTATCACACCATTTCGTATCGTGACTTTGAGGGCTTCTATTTCTCTGGTGGGATTCTTTCTGTCTTCATAAGGATCAGGGGAATGGTATGTAAACAAGTACAGGGAAAGAAGAGTTACAAACAGAACCACTTACCTTTGCAGGACCAAGGCCTGCTACAGACTTGAGAAGTTTTGGAACAGGCTCAAGTGATGGGAAGGCAGGCTGACAGATGCCCTCAAACCAGGGTGATGGTTTGGGAAATGTTTCAACCACATCTTCAATGTTACTATCAGAATTATTGTCCTCAGAGAAAGTGGTACTCTCTGGTCTCAAAATGCCACACTTTGCTTCCACTACAGTGAAAACAGGAGAGAGTACATGAGAACATGTGTCATTTCAAATCAGGGAATAACACCAGAAGGACAGTCTTCGAATAACTTACTGTTTCTGTCGGACTGCTGAGAAGGCTTCATGAGCTTTGTTAGCTTTGGTTTCACGACATGCTGGAGAAGAAAACAAGAGCTTGAAGAATATAACAAGTATCAACCTGAATAAATGTATAACATCCTCCACTCCTCCATGATCTAACACAAAGAGCACAGGCTCTGGAGTCATTCAGATGTGGATTCAAATCCCAGTTCTGCCACTGACTGACCTGCTCATGGGGAAAGGATTATGACAGATGACATCAGAAGCCCTGGATGTTCCTCTCCTTACCCCTAATTGACAGCTATATAAATACGATGACACCCACTAGATTACTTTCTCTAGCAAAATATTCGAGAGTAATAACTTATTCCCAGGACTTCAGAGCACGATTGAAAAACTAAGACATTTAAATTAATTGCTATATTTTAAAATCTGCTTCCATGATTAATATACACATGAATTATCACTTGGGAAGGGAAACATGAAAGTTTAGGTTTTAGCAGAACCTTATTTAGATGGCTAGAACTGCAAACAGGATAAGCTACTTCTATTCTGTTTGTCAAACAGCTAGAGATATAAAACAGGGGGAAAAAAATCAGCTGCTTCTATGAAACAGGGAAAGAGCAAGGTTAAACCCGTAGGGCAATGATCATGAATGAAAGCCACAAACAGTCTAAACAGACAGCCATAAGAAAACACGTGCATAACAGGGGAAGAGAGAGATGGACTGAAAGAACAGACACTGAAGAAATTTGCTCTGCGAGAAAAAATTAACAATAAATATTTTAAAAAAGAAATTAAAAAGGTAGAGGAGAAAGAAGAAAGGAAAAGGTGAGACATTCTTAGTCAAGAACAAACTTCACAGGGGAAAAAAAAAGTATACTAAGGTATGTGGAGAAACACATCTATTTAGAATTTATATACAAAAGATCAGTAATATAGCAGTATTCTTAAGTATATACTATCAGGAAAGCCTCTTTTTCATATGATTTTATTAATCTAATTATATGCATCTACACTGTTCTTCAAATTTTATGAAGATATCAACATCAGTTCAGGTCAGTTGCTCAGCTGTGTGCGACTCTTTGTAATCCCATGGACAGCAGCACACCAGGCTTCCCTGTCCATCACCAATTCCCGGAGGTTTTACAAACTCATGTCCATCGAGTCGGTGCTGCCATCCAACCATCTCATCCTCTGCCGTCTCCTTCTCCTCCCGCCTTCAAACTTTCCCAGAATTGGTATTTTCCAATGAGTCGGTTCTTCACATTGGATGGCCAAAGTATTGGAGTTTCAGCTTTCTGAATGTTGAGTTCTAAATCAACATTTTCACTCTCCTCTTTCACTTTCATCAAGAGGCTCTTTAGTTCTTTAATTTCTGCCATCATGGTGGTGTCATCTGCATATCTGAGGTTATTGATATTTCTTCTGGCTATCTTGATTCCAGCTTGTGCTTCATCCAGCCCAGCATTTTATGATGTACTCTGCATGTAAGTTAAATAAGCAGGGTGGCAATTTACATCCTTGATGTACTCCTTTCCCCATTTGGAACCAGTCTATAGTTCCATATCCAGTTCTAACTGTTGCTTCTTCTCCTGTGTACAGATTTCTTAAGAGGCAGGTCAGGTGGTCTGGTATTCCCATCACTTGAAGAATTTTCTACACTTTCTTGTGATCCACAGAGTCAAATGGTTTGGCACAGTCAACAAAGAATAAGTAGATGCATTTCTGGAACTCACTTGCTTTTCTTATGATCCAGAGGATGTTGACAATTTGATCTCTGGTTCCTCTGCCTTTTCTAAATCCAGCTTGAAGATATGAAGCTCATGGTTCATGTAATCTTGAAGCCTGGCTTGGAGAATTTTGAGCATTACTTTCCTAGCGTGTGAGATGAGGGCAATTATGTGGTAGTTTGAACATTCTTTGGCATTGCCTTTCTTTGGGATTGGAAGGAAAACTGAACTTTTCCAGTCCCGTGGCCACTGCTGAATTTTCAGATTTGCTGGCATATTGAGTACAGCACTTTCACAGCATCATCTTTTAGGATTTCAAATAGCTCAACTCCAATTCCATCACCTCCACTAGCTTTGTTCGTAGTGATGCTTCCTAAGACCCACTTGACTTCGCATTCCAGAATGTTTGGCTCTAGGTGAGTGATCACACCATCCTGGTTATCTGGGTCATGAAGATCTTTTTTGTAGAGTTCTGTGTATTCTTATACACCTCATCTTAATGTATTCCACTTCTGTTAGTCCATACCATTTTGTCCTTTATGGTGCCCATCTTTGCATGAAACGTTCCCATGGTATCTCTAATTTTCTTGAAGAGATGTCTAGTCTTTCCCATTCCATTGTTTCCTCTATTTCTTTGCATTCATCCCTGAGAAAGGCTTTCTTATCTCTCCTTGCTATTCTTTGGAACTCTGCATTCAAATGGGTGTATCTTTCCTTTTCTCCTTTGCCTTTTGCTTCTCTTCTTTTCTCAGTTATTTGGAAGGCCTCCTCAGACAACCATTTTGCCATTTTGCATTTCTTTCTCTCCAAGATGATCACTGCTTCCTGTACAATGTCATGAATCTCCATCCATAGTTCTTCAGGTACTCTGATTATCAGATCTGATCTCTTGAATCTATTTGTCACTTGCAGTGTCTAATCATAAGAGTAAATACTACATGAAACTAAATTCAGAGCATGAACACAAATTTCACAACAGAACACTTTACCTTGGTTTTAAAATCTAAGACTTCATTGTTTGATGTAGGCCCTAAATCAACGCCAGGTTCATTGGGAAACCTTTAAAGCAGAAACATACAATAAAAATGAGTGAGCTCATTTCCTTGAACAAAAGAAAAAAGAAAATAAAAACGAGTGAAAGTCTCTCTATATATTAAACTTTCTTGACATGAATAAAATTTGGCCTGTAAAACAGCTTTTTTTTAAAATTTTTTAAAGACTTTTTTGATGTGGACCACTTTACTGAATTAGTGCCAATGGTGCTTCTATTTTATGTTTTGGCTGTCTGACCCCGAGGCATGTGAGATCTTAGCTTCCCTGACTGAGAATCGAACCCACACTGCCTACACTAGACGATGTCTTAGTAATCATCTTAACCACTGCACCCCCAGGGAAGTCTCCAAAAATGTTTTTCATTACCTATCTGCTTCCTTGTCTCCCAATCTATGAAATATCTAGTTAAAAATCATTCTTAGTTTCCATAAAAGAGAGTGACAGCAAATATATCAGCAGAGCCTAAAAATAATTTGTTTTCACCAAAAGTTCTAATAGCTGAACTGAAAATCCAATTGATGGACTGAAATTATTCTTGCTTGCCCAAACTGGAATAAACCTGATGTCTTAAAACAAAGTGGAAGAATAGGCTTTGCCTTCTCCATTGTCTGTTCAAGGCTCAGAGACGGATCTGAGTTGGTCCAAAAGGGGAGTCTTGGTCCATCAGCAGGGTGCCACTCATTGAGATGGCACCACTTCTCTCCTTTACTCTAAGAGGGAGTACAGGGAGTTTAACCACAATGTCAAAACTTAAAATGTACACAAGTCAAAGGACTAATTTATATCTTTAACTTATATGCTACACGGGTACTTCTCAGTCTCTGCTGAGGGCCATGGGAGTGGACGTGGGAGCCAGGAAGGCCAGATGTCAAATCACAGGTCAACTCATTTTAACCAGGGTCAATTCATTAACCTCCTGAAACCACAGTTGCCTAATTAAGTAAAAGTAGGACACAGCTACTTTACGAAGCTGCTGTGCTGACTCTATGAGGTCACAAATGTTAAGCACGTAATGCACTGTCTAACCCAGGGTAGAACACTCAACAAACATTAGTTTCACTTATTCCATGTTCCCTTAGTTAAACATATAATTTAAAACATCCATAAAATCCTACCTGCTTGAAGAGTCCTCTTCAGGACTCTCATCCGCTATTAAAGAAAAATCAAGACACATTTTAAATCAACAGAAGAAAAATACAGAATACGAACACCTCAAGACTGATGCTTTGTTTAAAAGTATTCCTTTCAAACCACACCTGGAGGCCACACTAGAGGAAGGGAACAGTGGTTGTACCATTCTCATAGGCTCACCTAAGAATGCCTAAGAACCACTCCTCCCCTTTATAGTCATCACATGCAAAACAAAGAAACAAAGAAAGAACTGCTCTTTACAATGAGCATAATCCTAACCAAACTCTAGGAGACTGACAGACAATGATACTATACCATTAATAGAGTCAGTACTGTAAGCTGACAATAGCACACTTAAATAGCACAGTATTTCTGGACTTCCATTGCCTGGAGCACTGAACAGAGACTGTAGGTGCCTTGCTGGGACATGACAACTCCTCTGGCTCTTCAGTTCAGAATGAAAACACCCTATCACAGGGAAGCTTGGTCCACAGGCACTGAACTCCAGAGTGTGGTAAAGCATAGGAAGCAAAGTCTTCTCCGCCTGGCCCTCTTTCCAAAGACAAGAGAAGTATGAAAGAAGTAGTCATTCCAGACTTAGAAAGGATAATCTCTTGAAAGGGAGGTGGTGGAGGGCAAACGAATAACGGGGATCAACTCGGTGCTGAGAGTGGGGACTCTTCTTGTAGACTTGTAGTGCTGAGATTGCAGTAGGTTACACAGAAGCTGAGCTTTTTAAAAAAGTTCCATATATACACACACACACACACACACACATACACACACAAGACACACACACACAGACACTAATATGTCTAAAAAAAATCTCTTGAGACTGTCTCCTTCCATTGCTCAAGAGTATCTGCACCACATAGAGCAGGATGGTCCAAAGAGTGCTGTGTACTAGTGAGGGCTATCATTATATCAATCCTTCCCATTATATGGTAAATGTTTATAGAAATCATGCTTTTTCAGCTTGGAAGGCATACGTCATCACATCCTAAGCTGATGAACAAGGGGAGGGAGGGAAGAAGGGAGGGAGCCACGGACTCTGGTTCTGCTAAACAACGTTTCCCAGGGGTCCTCATGATCTGATGCTGGAGGGATGACTCACATGCAGCGACTCCATGGGGAGAGGAGCACTGCAAGCTTGAGCCTGGAGAGCAGGGGCAGTGAATTTTAACTGTTTTCACTCTGTGACATCAGAACAATGCTTAGTACACAAAAGACACTTGAAAATTATCTTTTTAGTGAACAAATGAGCAAATAAATAAGCATGTTTTCTTTGAAAATTTTGTTTAGAAAAATACAGAAATTAAAGAAAAAAAGAAAAATACAGAAATTAACCAGAGAAAACTCTATTCTATTCTGAGAGTACTGAAGACCAAGACACTCTCATCTCTGTATCTCCTCTGACTAATGTATTAAACCAACCTACAGTTCTTTGATAGATGCTTTTGTTGTTCAGTCACCAAGTCCTGTCTGACTCTTGTGACCCCATGGACTACAGCTCACCAGGCCCTTCTGTATATGGAATTTCCCAGGCAGGCGTACTGGAGTGCATTGCCATTTCCTTCTCCAGGGGATCTTCCCGACACAGGGATCAAACCATATCTCCTGCATTGGCGGGTGGATTCTTTACTACTGAGCCACCTGGGAAGCCCCATTTGATTAGATAGAGGTCTACTCAGTCAACGGTATCCTCGGATACCCTGTACAATATGCTAGATGCCACATACAGTGGACCTAATGCGATTTTTGTTAATGCAAAGTGTTTCTGTGCTTTTATTAGAACCTGCAGAGTCCCAAGTCCATCTATTTGGAGATCTATTATGATAATTTTTTAACTGATGGCAAGAGAGCATCTTGTTCTTACAAAACTATACTGTCATGACAACTGGCCAACACACAAAAGAAGACATCTGGTCCCAATGAAGTCAATCTATCTCACTCTCTTTGGATCTGTAAGGAATGAAGTTGGTAAGCTACACCCACTTGGTACAAAAATAGGCAAAATAACTGGTTCTCAACCAGGCTTTTTGGCCTTCCGTACTATTGGTAAGTATCTTCCAGAAATAATCTATCACTACTATGCTGCACACTGGCTCAGCTTTGCAGTTCTTATTGTTTATCATTTCTTATCCTAACAGGAAGGGATTATTCAGGTTCCCAGTTTTAATGATGGTAACTATTTTAGTGAGACTAATCACTACACAGTAACTACTAACTATTCATTCACTAAATGCAAACCATTTCTATAAATGAAAGTTCACTTTCATAAGAAGTCCAATCTGCTATAATATGACTATAGGTGAAATATACATAATACTCACTTAATTTTTTTTTCTTTCTGATTTACACAAAGATCTAGCATAGAACTTTAGGGGCCATATTAACTAGATGGATTTCTTTTCAGACAATACTGTCTTTGATGTTAAATCACCTACAATTAACTTCTTAATCACTTCTGAATACTAGAGTATTAGGAAATTAATTTTAAAAATAAAATACACATGCAATTTATGCTAATTTTTCATAGTTCTTTCATTATTGAAACTTCTTCACTCCTACTTTATCTATGGTAGAATCACCAAAAGTAATCTGGTATCATATGACGTACCTGGGTTGCTCTTTTCAGAAGTTTTAGGTCTCTTTTCTTTATATTCAGAAATCAGTTGGTGAAAGCTATGTATTTAAAATGTGATAAGTAATATTTTAACACTGATATGAAAAACTACCAAATTCTTAGATCATTTCAGACAATGCCAGAGATAATATCAAAACTTCAATTGTCCCATACATTTCAAGTTTCTAAGTTCTATACGCTTTTATTTAGCATGTAGTAAAGGAGAAAGTAAAGGTATATTGTCACCCTGCTTATTTAACCTCTATGCAGAGTACATCATGACAAATGCAGGGCTGGATGAAGCACAAGCTGGAATCAAGATTGCCAGGAGAAATATCAATAACCTCAGATATGCAGATGACACCAGCCTTATGGCAGAAAGGGAGGAAGAACAAAAGAGCCTCTTGAGGAAATTTGATACGCTTTAACACGTGAACACCTTGCCCATTCATGAAGAATTGACCATTTACAGGCTCAAGGGTTCATCTTTGTAAATCACCTCCAAGGCTAAAATGAAGGGACAGAAAAGAAGTCTCCTGTCCCATTGGGATGCCAGGTAGCAGCACTTACTATTTCAAAAGTCCCTGATGGGGACTTCCCTGGTGGGCCAGGGGAAAGACTCCAGGCTCCCAATGCAGGGGGCCCAGCTTCTATCCCTGGTCAGGAAACTTGATCCCATATGCTGCAACTAAGAGTTCCCACAACTAGGACCCCACGCAGCCAAATAAATAAATAAATGTATTTTTAGAAGAATAATAAAGTCCTTAGTGGACAGGAAACGATGCTGAAGTCACTTATCTGAGGCAGGTGACTATTTAAGGGATGAATTCCCCATTTTCTCCTTAGTCTGATATATTTGGCTTCAAAGTCAGCTAGAGGTTGGATTAAGAAAAGGCTACTTGCAGGCTTAAATCAAAAATACTGATAATAATGGGAATAAAAATAGTCATGGTGGCAGTTAATGATGTGGACAGGCATGTGCTAGGCAATAAAAATGAAATACTATATATAAAATCTTTCTCACACACAGGCACCTTTGAAAGATACACTACAATTTGTCTTGCATATCAGGAAACTTATTTGCTGATGATAAATAACCGTAATCAGTAGGAAACCTAGGAATTGAACCTAGTCTGAATCTAAAGCCCATCATTTTCATCTGTATCATCCACCTCTGACTTGGCTTTGTTAAAGGAACTCTTTATCCAATCAAAGCTATCTTTCTTCCTTCTACCTGCATTAAAAATGAAAATATCAAAATGTACTAAAATGAGAAAGGATAAAAATTCATGAGCCCACAGGATCTGGTGACAGTGAGTAAGAATCACCTTTTTGTGGCTGTTGTTATTTAATTGCTGTGTTGTGTCTGACTCTTTTGCAACCTAATAACATCAGCATTCTTCAAAGAAAGTAATTTAAAGCAAAGAGTTATCCAAAAGACAAAATCGAGTCTTTTAGGTTTACTATCCATCTTTTAAAAGTATATACATACAAAGTAGAGGTTAAGAATTCTTTTAAAAGAATTAAGAAACTCGATACTGCCATGAGGTAAACTAAAAAGCAGAATCCATATTTCATAAAGCCAATAAAACTAATTTGAAATCCCTCAGCTATTCCAAGATCGACAAAACAAACAAACAAAAAACAGGTTGCATATGACATCAGTCAATATTATAAAGGAATATCAACCCTGCTATACATTCCTGCTATATATTGTTCATGACTCCCAGTCAGAATAATCGATTTTCTACCTATGTGATGATGTGTTGATTACAAATGAATCCTCTTATTCATTTAATCTTGATATTACCATCCTAGAACAGCACTGAGGGTTTTAAAAAGAAAAAGAACAATGGTACCTTTTCATCTTGTCAACCGCATGTAGACTTGCTTCTTTGTCTACTAAAAACTCCACCATTTCTCCTCTCCTTTCATGTACAGCAAGTAACAATGGTGTGAGGCCATCCTGTAAGACAGGGAAAACCATTTCTAATGTACACAGTTAACCTATTTCTAATCTGACATTAAAATCGTGCAATAGGCTCTCGGAACTTAAAAATACAATGCAGAAAGTAAATGAAAAAGTGCCCCCTCCTCCTCATCGCCCTGTGCACCTTCCTTTTCTTTAACATGCTCCTCCTCTGGGCCTTCCCTGGTGGTCCAGTGGCTAAGAGTCAAGCTCCCAATGCAGGGGGTGCCCGTATCATTTAGCTACTGTATCAACTGTGTATTTTAGGAACAATGCTGAGGCAGGAATATATAATACTATCTGTAGCATGCATAACTCATCCAAGGATGACCATGAGTACACTCAAAAGGTTTTCAGACTTGCCAATGGGAATACTATTCTCTACATGAACATGTAAAGAGAGAAACTTTTTTTCTTTTTTTTTTTCCAAAAAATCAACCGTGGGAACCCTGTTTTACTGCTTTCTCAGAAATGTCACCTGGAATTTAATCTTACTCATTCTCTCTTCCTTGCTTGCTCTTTCCACTGCCCTTCCTTAAGTCAGACGTTCTGGTTGACAGGTCAGCATTAGCTAGATGCTAACTCCATGCAGAATGAGGGCCCTCCCCACCTTATCTTCAAAGACCCTTCTTGATGACTCTCATGTGATTACCTCCAGACCACCAGGAGGAAGCTTCCAAAACCCCAGAGTTCTGGCGTCTCTCTCGCTTTCCTGCTCTTAGTTAAAGATTGCAACATAAAATTACCAATAAATACATGCCCACCATTTTCTCCAGGAGCTGCTCCTCCACGAGCTCTCCCTGCACTGTCTCTTATAATCTGGTGTGCTTGTGAGAGTTATTCAGTGTGAAACCACCACAATGAACTTAAAAATTCTAATTTGAAAAATTCAATCCCATTCTTAATAGATTTTTTAAAATATGAAATCAATTATAGATTAGACTGTCTTTAAAACCTTCAAATATTTATCAAAATAAACTATCAATCAAAAATTGGAAACTCAAATGCTTATGGATGGAAAGCTGATGACCTGAGTAAGTGAAAAAGCCAGGTGAGACCGGTAACCCCCAAAACACATGTCCCATACAGAACGGGTAGCCTCTGCATGCAGACCAAACAGTACGATGGGCTCAAGGGGGCCCAGATTTGCTCCTTGGAGAAGCCTGAACTTCTGTATGAGCCTCGTCAATTTGAAATGTTGACTCAATGTGTGGAGGTAAACTAAACATACCCAAGGGCCATATTTGGTCTATTGCCCACTTCTGGTTTTATGTTTGCTGTTTCCAAACAGGTGGGTATAAAGCAAATATTTGTTTGTGAAACCTTTCTTTTCTTTAGTATCATAAGTTTCACAAAAAGTGGTTCCCAATATGTAGTAAATAAGCCTATTGAGACTCATAATTCAATTAAACATAAATTCTTTTAAAAAGACTCCTAAATCACAGTCAAGAATGTTTCCACTGCCTGTTGAAACTACAAGCTATCTCTAGAATTCTTCTATATTGTTAATCAAATGTATAATGAGTTCCTAAGCCCGCTGAAAATAAATGCTTAAAACAATTCCCCTCTCTACTGTTACTAACTGTACGGGTTTTAAAGCTCTCCTCTGCTTATGTCAGGGATCAGCAATTCTAACAGACACACTGCAAGAGTCTGTCCTGCAGCTGACACCAAAACAGGCTCATAAGTTACTATTACTGCAGTCAGGAAAACCCTGTTGGTAACAAACATCTGTTGACTTAATGACCTGGATGATAAGAGAAGGTGTAAAATCCTTAAAGGGTCAGACTCTACAGATGAAGTGACTTCGTCATGAGAAAATCTCTAAAGACTCTCGGAATGTCACTGAATGATGAGTGGTTGGAAGGAAAAGGAGTTACCGTTCCAGCCCATAGATATTGCCAAAGGTACTCCTTTTAGTGTCTCAAACACAGGGGCAGAGAAAAAGTCAGGCTAATGTTGTTGGAAAGGAGGGAGCTGATGGAAGTAGCTAGCACTGATCAAACTCCAAATGCTTCCAGACACTACTTTCTTTTCTGAAGGGTGCATTTAGAAATTACATGTGTTCACTCCATAGTTATTCATCAAGGGCTGAGTCAGAATCTCAAGGGAATAGTTCTAAACACACACGTCCAAATGTTCCTTGATTTACTCAGTCAAAATCTTCAGGGAACAGCCTAGGCTTGTAAATTTTTTAAATAAGTTTTCCCAAATGATTGTGGTTCGCCAGCAGAATATAGCTGAGATTTAGTGCAGCAACCACGCCAGTCTCATCTCTTACTCACAGAGCCAATTCCTTCTCTTACGTGAGGGTTTGAATAAAAAAGAAAAATGTAAGAGGTAAGAGTCATCAAAACTGCAATTTTTTAGATTTCCCTGGGTAAACAGTAGTAGAACAGGGACTAGTAAAGCCAAAAGGCAACCTGATCTCATTATTTATAAACCCCTTCCTTCCCATCAAGACATTCTAGATGGGAGAGCAGAGTCTAGACTCTTATCTAAGTGGATGGTTCTGGTTCTGCCAGAACAGGATAATGTATCAGTTAATTATTTGTTCTTCTCTCTTAATTCCCACTTAATAGCCACCTGTTCACTGCCAGTCTGCTTTGCTCAGAGTCTTCTTAAAACTGGCATCTTCATGAGACAAGTGCTCGGGCCTGGTGCACTGGGAAGACCCAGAGGGATCAGGTGGAGAGGGAGGTGGGAGGGGGATCGGGATGGGGAATACCTGTAAACCCATGGCTAATTCATGTCAGTGTATGACAAAAACCACTACAATATTGTAAAGTAATTAGCCTCCAACTAATAAAAATAAATGAAAAAAAAATAAAGTTATGTTTACATATGGAAAAAAAAACTGGCATCTAGGCAACTTTACAATTCACTCACAGTCTTTTGCGAAATAACAATTATTATCCCTGAAAACTGAAAAGCACCTCACAGAAATATATAAACTGACAGGAATAAAAAGCACAAACTAAAATCTCGGGACTTCCGTGGTTGTCCCGTGGCTGGGTCTCAGTGCTCCCAGTAAAGGGGGCCTGGGTTCGACCCCTGGTCGGGACACTAGATCCTACATGCTGAAACTAAGCCCAGCACAGCCAAATAAATAAATATTAAAATAAATAAATCCTCTTCTTGGCATTTCCCAACTGCCAAAATTCTGGCCTCACTTGCACTTTTCACTTGCTCGCTCTTTTTCCTTTCCTTCGCCCTCTTAAGATTTGGGCAGTGACAGAGAAACCGTGCTTATATAAATCATTTTTCATAAAATGCGAATTTGTCAACAGCAGCAAGATTTCTATTGTGTTGTAAAATGCTTTCGTTATGTTTGAATTTTAAGACAAAGTCTACTGAGGCAAATTTTGCTTTACTGTGTTATTTTAGACTGATTCAAAAAATAAAAAAAAAAAACTTAAGTGGGGGAAAATATTTGGAAAATGTTTTACCTTTAACAAGTACAGTGTTAGCATAAATCCCGGCCATAAACACATAAAGGAACGCTTTACTCTCTAATGCTTGAGAGATATCATGATTTAAAGTGAAATCTTATACAACTTGGTTCCTTCAAAATACTTTCACTCAGGGAAGACTGGAGCTCCCAAACATGGAAAACTGAGCCCACCTGTGAGAGTGGGGGAAGGTCCTGGTGGGGCTGCAGAAGCTGGACTTCACATGCTTCCTGAAGAAAGAGCAGGAAGGGCAGCTCCCCAGGCACAGCTGCAACCCTACCGAGCAGCTCCCCAGAACTGAGCGTGGAGGACCCCAAGGTGTACCTGGTGAACCAAGTGGTCACCAGCGCAAGTGGTGTCAAACATGACCTGACCTGCCTAGCCGGATCTCAGAACCAGGGGTCCTGGAGAGTGCAGGGCTCCAGGACTGCTGCCTCCCAGGCCCACTTGCACTCACCGAGCTCCATGATGGGCACTGGGTCTCCTTCCTCCTCTGCCCACCCCCAGCGGCACACATTCCCTGAGCCCCTGTCAACAGCCAGTCCCCACATCACTTCCCTCCCCACGGGCCTTCATTTCCTGTGGGCTCGGAGCCTACCACCCACTCCCACGCACGTTCTAATGGGAAAACCTTCCTTCTGGGGTAGAAGGGTGGCTGGCAGACAGAGCTCTGTCTTTTCTGGGGGCACCTACTTTTTCCACCCCTGCCCCTTGACTCAGGTTTAGAATTGTTTCCATGGTAACAGGGCCTCATGGGCACTATTCAGTTTACCTATTTACATACTGTTGTAAATAAAACACTTGTAGATTTAAAAAAAAATGCTTCGCAAACATTTGGTCAATAAAGTTAGCTGACCAATACCTTGTTCCTGGCTTCTATATGGGCGTTGTAGGAAAGCAGCTTTGCTGCGAGTGATAAATTCTGACAAAAGACAGCGTAGTGGAGCGCGGTGTTGCCACAGGCGTCCATGACATTTGGGTCGGCGCCATGCTCCAGCAGGAGAGTCACGCAGTCCTCATCTTGGCATTCTACGGCCTGTCAGTGTTGTGCCAAGAAACAGAGTATGAGTACTAGGAATTCAAAGGAAACAGTCCACACGTTTCACCAGTTCCCTCTATTTCAATGAGATAAATTCATTTTTAGTCTCAGCAGTTAAATCACATCCATCTCATGTGGACATGGTTTGCTGCCCCATACCTTCATCAGCGCTGTCCTGTTTTCATTGTCACAGAGGTCAAGCAGGCATTTTCTCTCCAGGAGGAGAGCCACCACTTCTAAATGGCCATTGGCACAGGCCAAGTGGAGCGCAGTCCTACAAAAGCAGGAGCAGTTTTTAGGAAACTGTAGTGTCACAGTTTTAAAACAAACGACTGTTCATGTGATTGAAAACACTCAACAGCATGGTACTCCTATCCCTCTAAAACAAATATTTTGTTTTCTTCTGGAGAAAGAGCAGCATATATCAGCTTTAGCTCCTCTTACACTGTAAGGAAAGAACAATCTACTTGAATAGAATGCGCAAGACCTCGAGATTCAGCTCAACTTGGGCTTGAATTTGACTTTCACTCTGTCACTTATTAGCTGTCACTCAGCCTCGTTGTGCCTCAAGTTCCTCATCAACAAAATGGAGAGAGAGTAGCAGTTATCTCACAGGACACCGCTGCGATGCTTAAATGAGATCCATGCACAGATAACAGCTGGTAATTGTTAGATTCGAATATCAAAGTTACTACTATTACTACTGTCTTACAAGGACAACATCTGAATGAAGTCAAAGGATATTACAACTCCTTTACAGATATGTTTTGAGGATTAGAGACAACATTGTACTTCGATGATTATAATATGCTTATTTTCTCACATGTTAACGTCTCTGACATTGGAATATAACTTATAATTCACAGGCTTTAAAACTGTAAATTGTAGCATTTCTGTTTGTTCATTTCTCATTTTTCCTGTTGGTCTAATTACCATGAGGTGTTTTCATTTAAGTTTCTTTAGAGATGATGTCTGTTATATATTATTCTATAATACAGGCGCACAACACAGTGATCCACAACTGTTAACGGTTACACTGCATTTAAAGTGACTATAAAATATTAGCTATATTCCCCATGTTGGACAATATATCCTTGTAGCTTGCAGGATTTTAGTTCCCTCACCAGAAATCGAACCCTGGGCCCAGAGCAGTGAGTCTCAACCCCTGGATGGCCAGGAAATTCCCAAGATTCCCTTGACTTCTGAAAAGGCTGAAAGTTGTCACAGGATACCAATCCTCACAAATAAATTGAAAGTGACAAATTATTTTCATCTGTGCCACATTCCTATGAGTGCCAGAAAGATAAACCCTGTCTGCTCATCCGACTTCCTACAGACAGCTTGATCTACAGAGATTTTTAAATTTGGGGGGTTGCTAAATCAACTTTCAGATTTTTTGTGTGTGTGTTTTTTTTTTTTTTTTTTTTGGTGTGGAAACCCAGGAAACTCCTGAGTGTTTGCCTTTGAAATCATTCTTAGAAAAGTCTCTGGGGTGGGATATGTGTATACTTACAACTGATTTATGATGTTGTACAGCAGAAACCAAGACAACACTGTAAAGCAATTACCATCTAATTAAAAAGATACTAAGGTTAGTAA